TATATATATATATATATAAGTATTAAAATTCTTGCCTTGATATCTCAATTACATAACAAATAATTAGTTTCTTCTGTGTTTCAGATAGTTGTTTTGAGAATTGGGACGTTTGCTGGCACAACATTTCTTTTATCGAAAATATAAATTTCACTCAAAAGTTTGACGAGGAAAGAAAAAATACGTCGCTGGAAATATATGGTTATAAGGGTAAGTACATACAGTTTTCAAAGATTTTAGAATCCGTTTAAAAAAATATTTTTAATGTGCCATCCCGTGGCTATTAGTCTACTGGAATCTAAAATCACAATAAAAGTAACAGTGCTTTAATTGCATCTACTTTCTCGTACGATTTGTAACGGATGCATAGATCGCATTTTCGTTGAACTCGCTAATGTTTCGAAAACTGCTAAAGTTCAAATATTTTTCGTCGTCTTTCTACAACAAGAATGAAGATAGGATTTTTTCCTTAAAGTAATCTGTTCATAGAAAACGGATCTTCAAAAAAGGTAATGTACAACCTTTACAAACTAACTGTGAGTAATTTTTCCGTAACTTTGAATGAAACCAAGACAATTTTTAAACAATTTTAAACACTTGTTTTCTCAAACAGATTCAATTGTTTTCTTTAATTCTTTTCTTCGATATAGCAAAGAATTGCAGAGAAAGTGGCACCGGTTCCATTTTCGGAAAACTCTGTATTCAAGAAAATTGCAAAAAATTCGAAATTGTGAATTCGAACTTTCCTTGCCCTGTCTGACGACCTGTCAATTCCCCAAACTACCACTCTGCTATATGGCTGTATAAAATTCCTAGCATTCTTTTTATTGTTGGTGGTTGTAATGATTGTATGATGAAGATAATTTTCTTTTAAAAAACATAGATTTGAGGAAGGTAATAAATTTAAGTTAGAATAAACAATACAATACGAATGTTTAGTTTAAACAGTTTTGATCGCTGATTATGGTATTCAAAAAATGGAAGCTCACTTCTCTGTATTGAAGGCAATCTTGTGTGAAATTATTCTTGCTTTTCTGGATACTGAACTATACTGCAAATACTGAAACGGTTAAATAGTGTCGTCATGTTTCATTTGTAGAAGTGAGAAATGACTCGTGATTCTATCAAAGTAAATACAGACACGTATATTAGGCGCTTCGTTTGAATACGTTGGGATTCAAGTTAATAGCCGAGATGATTGTAGATCGAAGTTTTAATTCCATAATATTGCGTATTCCAATAATGCTTGTAAGCATGCGCATCTCTAGTTAGAATATGTTATTTCCGAAACAATGGAGTCTTTTTCTTGGTCAGTTATTGATGGAGGTTCATTGAGTTCTCGTTGAAACTGTTTTGGAGACATTCAAAGCAGCTCATTTAACACTAATCTTTTTTGTGTGCTACTGAGAATGTCCTCCAACATATGGTCCGAGTGAATAGTAACTGTGCAGCACTATGATTGCTTGCGCTCGCCTCTGGACACGTGCTGAATGGAGCTATCGATTTAATAAGATTTGAGTTTGACATCGTAAGATTGCCCATGAGAATTTGAGAATGTAGTACGTCGATCTTTATTATTCTTATTGTACAAATTATTTGAAATTCTAAAATTTTTTATTAGCTTTTCTGTCTGTAAAGCTGACCCTGGTAGTTTGGATCAAGGATTTACGTCACCATCTACAATTAACTTGGAGTTATATTTGTCCACTGAGTCGTAAACAGACAAATGTTCGTTAAGGTGGATACAGGTTTCAATGCCACAATTTTAATGCTGAAATTATATGAAGTCTCTGATTCTGGCTGATAATTTCAGATACAGCGTTTCGTTTACAGTAATTATTTTTAGCGCCGTAACATTAAGGTTGAATACAATTATTGCTAAGCCATTAGCTTCCTCACTGGCACCGGGTGTTGATTCAGTTTTCTATTTCAGCCATTGCAAGCAGCCTTGATTTCTGAGCGTTTTTGAGACTTCTTGTAAAATAACCCAAAAAATATCCGATTCATACTTCCGTTTCCATTACAGGTTCACGAGTTCTATTACATGAATTGGGGGTTCCAATTTTGGAAAAAATCAGCTGAGCAGTATGCGGTAAGGTTCTTCACAGACGGACAAACCAGACTTTTTGCCGTCAATCGATTTTTCGTCATTGAAGGCCACAAAAATTGGATTCTGCCTACATAACGTGTTAGACGAAATAATTTGCAATGAGAAAAAGATTTATTTACTTGTTACCAGCGCCCGAAAAATACGTTTCCTTTCCAAAATATTTCCGTCTTTCGACGTCCGATTACAATACTTTCGCTTCGTACGAAGCAAGGGCGAAAAAGTAAAAATTGACAGTTCAATTCAAGGGTTGACATATCTCACCACAGGCGGACATGAAAAGTATAAACGTCACAATGGAAAATACAGAAAAATCAATTCATGCAATTACGAATACTTGATGTTCACCGCCATCCTAAGTTAAACTAGTGCGGGTAAAGTAGTGCTTGTTGGTACATGGGCCGCCAAATTAATTCAAACTGCCACGCTTCGAACAGCTCAGTTTCGCTGCTCTTTGAAGGCATTTTAGAAGCATAGATCATACATTTCAAACTTCCCGACGCGGAGTCTAATCTGATTCAAACCGCGCATATTCGTTTCCAATTGTCCAAATACTCATTTTTTGTGCAAGTTTCTTTGAATTCGATTGTCAACTGTTTTCTATTAGTTCGAGGTGTCACCTATAGATGACGTCATTCCCTGGACAGCGACGACGAAAGATTTACGTATTGTACGCAACCAGGTAACGAACAGTATTGATTCAAAACTTTAAAGAAACATGAGCCCTGAGCAGTCATATCAATCTCAAGGACATTACGGTGTTGCCTCACTTAAACATTGAAATGTTTGCCATTATTAGCAATTACTACACAAAAAGTTATAGATACGTGTCTATGATGTTACGTTTTATGATTTTGCTCTTACTAATTGTTTAATAGTGTTTTTTTATGTTCAATCTTATACTTCAATGTTTCATTTCGTGGCCACGCGATCTGTTGGTACTAGTTAAGAAACTAGTCAACGTCGCTCTTTATGTGGTATTAAAATATTTTTATTTTATATCTATTAAACTAAATTAATTCGAATAATTAAATAAAACTTAGCATAAAAGTCCCTATTTGGTTTATGAATGTTCCACAATACCCACTTATCTCAGACGAGTAATAAAAATTTTACAAAACAATTTGCTTAGTGCAGGTAAATGTAAAAAATCACGATAATTGTTACATTTTTGTGTGTTTGCGGTTACGGGGAAATGTTTTGTAATAATAAAACTCACAAATAAGACATGAGAAGTTTCACGTGGGTCTATTCATGGCATTGTTTAATTTTTAAATTGTATTCATGTGGTGTGTGGTTTCAGGAAGGCGGTTTTTGATAATAACGATGCAACCGGAAGAGACGTGGTGGCAGGTGGATGTGCCCGAAGGAGAACACAACATCACCATCACTGGATTGACAGGCTCCCTCAATGAAACAAACCCCATCATCAATACTGTTTATTGCGAAGGTAGGTGAGATACTTTACACTCACTTTCTAATTTTTCGCATTTACTTCGTAAGAAGAAAAAGTATTGTAATCGTGCGCCAGAGAAGGGCGAATTTTCAGCAGAAAACCCCTTCTTGCCGAGCCCCGGTACTGAAAAAGTGAATAAATCCTGTTCTCATACATATATAATAAATTATTTCCTCTAACACGTTGTGTGGCAAAAACCCGTGTTTTGTGGATCCTTGATACCGAAAAATCTATTGACGGCAAAACGTCTGTCTATCCATTTGTGGTCAACTCGCCTGAGCCATTCAGCGAATTTTATTCAAAATTGATACTTACATATCGATCTCAACGAACTCGAGGCTTTAGGAGTTTCAAACAGATATTTTGATTTTTGAAGGTACTTTACACACAGTCTCAACATTTTCAAAATATTATCGAAAATGTCTCCAATTTTTTTAATAAACATTATCCTCGAATAGCATAAAGAATCTCATGTTCGTTGAAATTCAAGATTTTTCGAAAACTGCACGATTGCATTTTTTGGGGCATTTTCTACCACTACAATATTTTAGATAAAGGTTTTTTTCTTAATAAAAGATGTTCTTTAAACACATATCTTGAAATAAGAGCAAGTTCAATTTTTTCGAAAATATGAGTTTTTGTGTATTTTCCAAAAAATATAAGAATTTTTAATTTTTCCAAGAATTTCTTTCTCAAAAAGCGCTCCAAGTTTTTTCCTTAAATATTATTCTCAGATGTATCAAGTATAAAATGTGTGTGCTAGCCCCCGTTTCAGCGACCTCCCCGTATTTTTGAAAATTGCATAAAGTTAACATTTAAAAACTACAAAATTTAATATATTAATTTTGCTTTAAACAAAGTATGTTCTATAAAAGCATGTCTTTAAAAGAGGTCATGTACATTGTTAAAAAAAGTAGATTTCGCGTAATTTGTCTAAAATGTGTGCCATTTCTAGAAATGTGTTCTCAAAAAAGTTTATATTTCTTTCTTTAAATTTTCTCTTCGTATGTAACAACGGCCGTTATAAATATGGGCTACTTCGATTTTCCAACAACTCGTATTTTCGAAAATTGCAAAAATTGAGTTAGAAACATTTAGGTTAAGACAATTACATTTTAAAGCGTCGGCCCGGGTGTGAATCATATGGCGTTTCTATAGCGTAGTGGTATGAGTGACTGCGAGTTAACTCGGAGGACCTGAACCCGAATCTTGTTGCGGAAAATAATTTTTCTGTTTGGAATATTTTTTGCATGTTTATGTGGTAGTATTATTAGTATAATACAGCTGTTGTAGCACCACTAATTCAGTTTGTGGTGAAAGTATTTTCATTAGTCCTTTGCTTCTTAATACAACTTTTGTTAACTTTTTGTTTCAGGTTGCCCACCACCGCGTGTGAGTTACTCAGCATATCGACAATTGTGAGTAGTCAAATGAATTTCTTGTTCAAATCTGGGAAACAAACTGAACTTCGAATGTATGTATGAAAAAATGGGCTACGTCGCTATACTCAGTTAATCCGAAAATTCTTCATTGAATCAATAGAATTAGCAAACGTTGTAGTCCATGAAGTCCCTCCCCCAAAACATTTGTAGGCGTAATAAAAACGCCTGGTGTGTATCATTGCGAGAACGTGGGTGGGTACGGCTATGGCATAGCAGTCTCATTTAAACGAAAAATATGTTATATTTTCAATATAATTGCAGTGTATCAGATCAAAATGATAGTAGTAAAAACATGTCTTTCATTTATAAGGAGCCCTTGAATGGTTGCGCGAGAAAGTCTCGGCCATTCTGTAGCAACACTTGTTACTTTCTTTTATACCTACTAATAATATTATAAAGTTGAGTAATGCTACTGTAATTCGATGTCAAGGTGTTAATGAAATTACGTCTGTAGAAGACCCTTGATTTCGAAAAATGATTATTTTTCAAAACGTCCGCCTGTCTCTGGGTTGATCTGTCCTATCGCCTAAGCGATTCATAGAAAAATTTTCATAATCGAAATTCCCGGACCGATCTGGCCGAACTCAAAGTCCTGCCATTATCAGAAGAATTCTTTAAATTTCGGAATACTTTACATGAAACCCCTGGGATCGTTTCAATATCCTCTTACTAGGTCGAATTTTGCCGCTGTCTGGAGAAGATTCCATCATCTTTACTTCATTCTTACACACACTTCACTTATACGTCACACGTATGAGCAAAATACTGTCCTCGATCCATTAAGTATTTTTTCGATAATACTGTTATGTAATGAACCATTTAGCTATTTATATACTATACCAGTTCTTGCACATTCGTGAAGTGTTTTTTGTTAAAATATTTAATTTATTTGATGACACGATAGTATTTTATTATTCCTCAACATTGTGCAGAAAAATTTTCTCAAAAACTGCTCCACTTTTTAAATTTTTTGTAGGGAACGTCTGAATAACATGGCATAAACACCATTTTGATGTATCTTCTGTGGTTTTTTGAAAATTTTAAAAAGTAATGATTTAGAAATAGTTCTCATGTTAATATTTATATTCCGAACATGTCTTATATTGAAACCTTGGCTCCTTACTTTTAATTATTGTTAGGAGGGTTCATAACATCTGTTCTCAACCATCAGTAAAAAAATAATTTTGAAAAATATATTTTTTTCTTTAAGGATCGTGGTTTTTTCTTTGTCCTATTAGAAAAGAACGTGTTTATCCAGAAAATTTCCAAACTTATATTGATATATTGTAACAAAAAACAACAAAAATTGCCCTTTGTACAGTAACAAAAATCACTTCACACCTGACTCTTTACTCTTCTAGAAGAAAACAGCGAAATTCATTTATAATTATATCGTCTTTGTAACACTTAAAATATAATTACCATCTCACATAATTTAACATTAGTATTTCATGAAAAATTACAAAATACTCCCCTTCAAAATAATCAAATATATTATACAACAAAAAAAACAGTTATATCGTACTGGTATCTCTCTTGAAAACAGCGCGAAACCTTTACAGCACAAAGAAATCTCAAATTTATGCTCTCTGGTATGTTTTTTCAATCCCTAAACTAAATATTGTTTCACCCCCCATTATAGTTTCATTAATAAACCATTTCCATTAGTAAAATGATTAAATTCTACTTCTACCAACCACAAGCACATTATGAAGTTCCATTCACTCTAAATATCTATTCACACCCCGAATGTTCATAGAAACTTTTAAAAGTGCCGTATTTTCAGCATTTCATTTACGGCCTATTCAATCCACTCTGGCACTGTTGGCACTGCCGGCCAAATTACTTAAAATTTGGCACCCTTTTTTTAACAGAGTGTTTGATGTTCTTTGAAGGCGTTTCAGAGGAAATGATTACACATTTTAAACTTGGCGCCTCCGAGATGGTTTCTGTATTTTATGGCTATGGCAATATTGCATTTACATATTGTATTTAGTTTTCTTTTTTGGTAATTGTTAAATTCTAAATATTGATAATACTTCTGTATACTGGGTTTGCAACTAAGCGGACTTGTTTTGGAATATCTTACAAAATTAATGTTTCTTGTATAACGGACTGTCAACATAATATCAACATATCAACTTGACGTAACCACAGAAGTTTAAGGATTGACAGCAAAAAATGTAAGTGGAGGAATTAATCAGGAAAAGAGCGAATCACCGTAGGAGCCCCCGGAGGTTGAGGGTCCTCTTCCCCAAAAATGGACATCCAGTCCATTTATTATCAGTTGAAAGTCTGAAAATTTTCATAAATTTAAAATCTATTTTTTTTTTCAATAAGATTAAAATATGTTTTATTTATATGTTGGTCGTTGTATTTTATTTCGATTCTTCGTAGAATGTCTGCCGTGTCGTGCTTTTTACTTAGTAATAAAATTGTTAAATCTTTTGTCTCATATAGTTTTGTTTCATTGGTTCGCATAATTCTTCCAGGCACAAATTTGAAATATTGGTCTCTCCTTCAGATGAGCACAATTCCAATGAGGATGTTTCAGTTCACATGGCAAGCTCAAACGAGACGGATTTCAGTCTCGACGATTGTCGAAATCCAGAATTGAAATTTGACAAAGAAGCACATGGAAAAGTGAGTTAAGTATGTAGTATGTAAGTAAGCAGTACGAACAATTTTGCTCCTGACTTCTATATATTACCTACGATATATATATATATATATATATATATATAATTTGAAAATTTATTTTGAAGGGAAGGTCTAATAGAAAATCCTAAGAAATAATTCGAATGCTTAGGTATTTTAAAAGCCTACAAATGGTAATTCCTGTTTCACTGGAGGAAAGATACCGTTCCAAAAATTAAATTGAAACCACTGTGTTGGTGGTCATCCTAAATTATTGTGGTATTTATTTTTCAAAATATTTTATTTTTATAAATAAAATTAAATATATTTTATTTTAAAAATTGTGTAAAATAAATGTATTTTTGTACATTTCTACATGTACTAGGTGTATTTAGTAGTTAGCGAAGCGCATTAATAATGTCGAAGTGCGTAGTAGTGAATACATAGTTGTTATTTTTAGTTCTCAAAATAAGTATTTTTCGTATTTTTTGTCAATAATAAGTAAAATCTTTATGATGTAACATCATTGTCCCGATAGGGTGATCACCTACCCTTCAAATTAAGCGATCTCAATTTTTCATCTCCGTTTTTTTCTTAATTCCACTGAAATTAGAGGTCATATACCCGAGATCATAATTAGTACCCAAAACTGAATTCTACAGAAGAATACAAATTTTGTTTTGGAGGAGATTTTTTTCCTTTGCAAAATGGGAATTGACGAAAAGTTTCCTTATTTTGTGTATTCTATACCAAGAGTATTATAAGGCATCATGAGAAATTTAACACCTAGGACTTAGGAATTAATTTTTCGGGTAACACTGCGCATTATATTTTTCAGACAAATGAATCACTGGTTTTTGAAGAAGTGTTCAGCACAGAGTTCTGTTTCTTGGTAAGGACGTAGACATATTCTCGTGTCACAAATGTTGGTGTAAAAATGTGTTCATTACATTGAAAAACATTACTCTTTTCGACAGATTGAGGTGACTTGGGAGAAAACGAATCGACGATATAGATGCCATTTACAAAACAACATGACAGGTAATTCATGGAAGCAAAAGACAAATACTACAGTATATTGGCGGGATCCGCTCTGTCAAGCCAGTTTCCCTCTCAAAATTATATTCATCACAAAAAATATAAAATAGAAAGTAATATAAAAACATTATTCCATAACAATAATACCAATAAAAACACGAATTATTTGAACTCAGACGCAATTATATTATCCCATCGACTCTTGGTCCTCAAATACTTACGTGGACTCTGTTTGGGGTCTTTTTTGACCTCAAACATTTGACACAATAATTTACTAGTATTTGCTCCAAGATTATTTGAAATTATTGAGAAAATAGTGCTATTTATTTACATTATTTACTATATTGGGCTAAATAACATAGAATACTGTTATTTTCCGAAAAAACATTCTAGCATATACTCATTACTAAATTTTTGAAACTGGGCTAACAAATCACAATAGACAAATACACCCAATTATCACTCAGAAACCGCAACATATTATTACAAAACTGAAATGGACATTAGACTTTTTCTTGTGATTAACAACTCCAATGTGGCATTTTACTCAAATGGCATACAAATCAAATTATTTACCACAAACAAATAAACTTAGAAAACTGAAAAGGATAAAACATATGTAAAACTGGACGTAAACAGCATTTCTAAGAGCAGAAGTTCATGTGAATAATATTAAGAGAGTTGCGAAACATTATTTGTCCCTGGAGTCAAAACAGACCCCAAACAGAGTCTAAGGTTAAAATCTACCGTTTGCTTTGTAACTGGTGCTCAAAAGAGAAACATTCAGGAAGAAATCTGGTAGTTTCTCTCATCGGTTCAATACGTTTTTGGAGATGCTACATTCAGATTTAAGGAGGTTTTAGAAACCCTGCGTCGGGGTTGTTCAACTGGCGGCCAGCGGGTAACCACGTCTGCGAGTTCATAGCGTCCCCCCTCCTTTCAGAGGAACCGAACAAATTGGCGCGATCAACATCACGAAGAAATCAGGCGTGGATCGCCCGAGTAATGAAAATGTGCCCTTCAACCATATACCATCAGGTTTTAGTTGTGGCCCTTGAGGTCTTACAAGTTGAGCACCCTCCTTCGTGTATCCTGTTCTGGAACCACCATATAGCCTAAATCACCACCTACTCACTGCCTACTTGCCTACGCCACTGACGTTGGGAGCATATTTATTTTAGAAAGAGAATAATGTATACATCACAAGTATATAATTTTTATGTAATTATTCTTAACAGTAAAGTTCATAAGTTAACCTTAGCGCTCCCTGTTGTAGAACCGTCAAGTGTTCACCTACAGTATTAATGACGTCACCGCTAAGTCACCGACAAACTACTAAGTCTTTATCGACTAAGTCTTTGCCAACACCGCGTAGAATTCTAAGCCTATGAACGACGCGCTGTGTGACGTCACGATGATAAGGCCATCGGGCGGCCATCGTTCATTACCATGTGTGTAGTGTTGTATTGTGCCTTTTCTCAATTTTTTTATTATTTAAATATAGAAAGGTGTTTATTTATAGCTTGTGTGTATAGTGATATAAGGGCAGAAATTAGCCTAATAAGTGTTGTATGCCGGGGTGCAACGCGAATTATAGAGCTCAGTTGGGAGATTTTTCTTTTCGAAAGCACTGCGAATTAAAAAGGAAATGGATAAGAGCCTTATAGAGAGATGATTTTACTCACAAAATGCACAAAGATTAACTATAATAAATCTTTCAAATATTCGTTTCTTACCCTAGATTATATTACTCATAGATACGTATGAGTGAAACCATACTATCTATATGAGCAATATAATACGTTTCCATACCTAACCACGCTTGTGTAAGTAACTTATCGAATTATCTGTGGTACCTTATTATTATTATTTGAAGGCAATACCTTTTTTTTTTAATTTCTTTGTAGGTTTATGAACATCATTTTAAAGAATGTTATATCATGTGTGTGTCAATTTTTTGAAACTGGAAGTAAACTGAGCTTATGTTTACAGTAAACTGGAGAATTCAGAATGAAAATAGAAATTCAGAATAAGTCACTGACTTTAAAACGTGACAGTCTCGGTGAAGCTTGTGTGGATGCTTGTCTATTTGATCGACTAATTCTATATGTCAGAATGAAGATCTACATAACATGGTAGTTCCAGAAATTTTAAAGAAAATTGCGCTGAAGATAATGATACTGATGATATTCCAGAATTAACTTGGGCAATTCTAACGTATTTAAATGGAATGCTCTCTGTTGTAAGAAAATCAAATGTGACTATTGGAAACAATATTTAATTGCAGAAAGATGTGGTAGGTGATATGTTAATTTCTTTATATAATAGAAGAGGTCTGTTTTACCCTCATAAAGATGTTTGCTGTGTGTCTTGATTGTATGTTATTACGCAAAAGTTAATTTGAAAAGAAACATGAGATTTTGAAGGCGTGTTATACCAATTATGTAATATAAAAATTGCTTATAAAAACCAACCGACGAGGGAGAGAGGGGAAGTCGGGTGGGGCAGACGCGCGGAGAGCCTTTTGGGCAACCGTGTCGGATCGCGAAGGGTCGCGGGGAGCGACAGAGTGCCGCTGGCTAGCACGCCGAGTCCCGCTCGTGCGTAGTGCGAGCGCCCTGCATAGAAAAATGCCAATTATGACTCCAAAGAAGGCAGGCAGATCACAACGATCGCCACTTGCAGTAATCTGTAGGGCAGCCGCCACGAGGCCGGCGCGCGAGCTCGATCGGCTGCTGTAAAGACTTCGCGATTCACGAAAGCGGCAGCGAGGCACGCGGATGCGCGCGTGTCCGCACGAGGGCGACGGGAGAAGCGTAGACTCAATAATTAGAACTTTTATCACTTGAAATTGTGATTGTCTGTAATACGTTTTATTGATAGTTTCATAATCCAATTTTAAGACAATCAGCTTTTTGCTTGTCTTTTGAGATAGTAACATAAATGTTTTTAAAAACTAATTACGAGTAGTGTTGTGGCAGCGAAATATTGTTTAGAGAAATTGCCAGAGCATTAGCAGAAACTGCAACGAACATCGCCTTTTCGATTGAAAATTTTCATCAGACGAGTGTTCTGAGAAAGAAACACATAATTGACAAAGATTGTTACTTTACAGAAATAATCAATGAGTTTTGAGGAGATTGTCATGGTTACCTCGGTCCAGACGAAATTAAATGTTTCGTTTCGAATTTCACGCTTTACTGCACGTTAGACTGCAGAAAGATGCTGGGAATTGCCCAGCAGCGACCCGAATCGAACTTTGAATGCGCCCAACACACCTCACTTAGCTTCCGTTAACTGCGAACTGCTCGCGGCGCCTCAAACTTTCATGACAATGCGAGCCCGCTGCGTCTACAGTGGCAAGTTCTGAATTTCAAGAAATCTGACAATGGCATATAATTCGTCGCGGCCGCCCAGGAGCTGATGCGATCATTTGGAGACGCTCGGAACTAACCGGAAGAAGTCACGTCGATGACAAAGAACTTTGTGCGAAAGAAATGAGTATTTGGTCAACTGGGAAGAAATTCGCGCAGCTTTTTGAGTAAAATTAGAATCTCCTGAACAGAATGTTTGAAACGTATTATCTTTTCATCTTGAATGCCTTCAAAGATCAGCGAAACGGCGCTGTTCGTAACGTGGAACAAAATGTGAACTAACTTGGCGGTCAATGTGCCAACAAGTAGTATGTTACAGCATCAAAAGAAAACATTCCGATTGTCTTAAACTTTACCAATAAAACAGCAATAATTAGCTTATAAAAGATACCAAATCGGGTGTAGATAAACTAGACAATGAAATGCAAGTATTAATTTGCCATAATTACCATAAAGCGGTCTCCGGTGGTTTCTTCCACTTCTGAATATTAGTGGAGAACAATGCTTTTGCCATTTAAAAGGCTATGCTGTTGTCAGGTAAAAGCAAAGAACATGTCAGAGGAAAGACGTCCTGAAAATGTTTCACGTTAATTGTTGGATGATCGCCTAACATATAAAGTGTACACGGAGTTTATTTCCTCCACAATTAAATTACGTCTTCAGTAACTGGGAATATCAAAGACGACACATAAAGCAGATGAGATATTAACGTGATTAAAGGAAGATGGAATTTATGCGATAGAAAATAATTCACATACAAGATTTCGGTGCAAATCGTGTAATTGATTTATATGCTTTCAAAATGTTATTTGTGCTTTAACAATTAACCTTGTTTCATAATGTATTTGTATCGTAATATTATTTGTATCATCATCGTTTTATGTTCATTCATTACCGCGTTATTTTAATAGAAATGTTGTATCACAAATCATCAAAAATGTAATTAAATTTCTCTTAATCTAATCACAAAACAAATATAAATTCTAAAAATGGAGCAACACAAGGTCTGTTTGATATTCACCGAAATCCAGTAAAAGTGTGCTCTTCCGTTGGGAGGAAAACGAAATGGCGGCTTCGCAGCGCGCGCGCGTGTGCTCGCGCCGCAGCAAAGGCGGGGGCTGGAGGTTCATAGAACAGATGGGGAGAAAAAATAGAAGGTGCAATTTGTTTTCATCTGTCGTTTCCGCATAATTAGTGCTTAAAACTATGCAATTAATAAAGCATTTTTTCAAAAGTCGCTCCAATTTTTTCATCTCCTTTTTTACGGATAAATAGTGGAAACGAAAAAGAATGGTGTAGGTATAATTTTGAATGAACTCTGAATTGTCAAAAACTGCAAATTGAGAAATAATGCTAGAGATAATGTGCTGTTGTAACACCACTAATTTAATTTGCACATAGGCATTTAATGTACTCACCCATTTTAACTGTTAGACATCTATGCGTTGTTCTCTTTCAGAGGCGCCGTTCCACCCGGCCTACGCATCCGTGGAGCCTCCCACGTGGTGGGTGGTGGGGCTCGTCCTGCTCGTCATCCTCCTCGCGCTGTCCGGCTTGGGACCGCTGGCCATCCGAAAAGGTTCTTTTCATTTATCACAGCCTAGCAGCATTCCTAGCAGACCTCAAGTAATTTCATCAAACATAGAGCATACATAGACAGAATTTTTAGGAACACGATTTTTATTTTCTCCCCTTCCCCGCCCCCCAATTCCCGTGCCGCGAGTTGAGGAGGAGAGGGAGAACCTCAGCTTCTCGCTCAGGGTATAGTGAAACAGTATCGTTAAAATAGTTTATTGTACTTCTCGGGCATCTCAGGTGGTAACGCAAAAAGAGAGAAGGGCGAAATCCTCGCCTTTTTATAAACTCGCAACGTTGACGTCGCCAAGTGACAACTGGGTCGCTCGCCGGCGGCAGCGTGTCGTAAGGGCCAGGATGCAAATCGCGACACCCCCTCTCTCCCGGTGTTTAAGTACACGCCCATGTAATACGCACGACATTATACCTTACAGTTAATGAATTGAGTAAAAGAAGTGACAAAGCACAGAGCTTATACAATACCAAAGTATTTGCTAATGTCTTTTGCTACCAAACTTACTGAATATTTTATGAAAAATCAATCTGCTTAGATAGAAACAACAACAATTTATCACTCAAGCTGAGTTAAATTTAACAATCCCTCTTTGTTAAGTCCATTGCTTTATGAAAATGCACTTTAAGACTAAAGTTAACACAATTTTGTGATTAACACTTAGAAGCTGATTAAATTAAAATTGCAAGTTGCCCAAGAGAAAATATAAACAACAAATCTAAAATTAAAAACAAACTAATACATATAAAATGAAAGACAGCTACTAAATAATTTACATCACATACAGAGCTAAAGAGAGAATAAATACTGCACCAACATCGCTCTTGTTTTTAAGGAAAGAAAAACAGAGAGGAGAGAAAAAACATTATTGAGACGCGTTTGATGGAGCCCATTGGCGAGGGCACATAGGCTGCAGCCTGCTAGTGGGAAAGATGGTTCTACGTTTCCTGACCGTCATAAGTTTGCGAACGTCAACGCGGTCGGACGGATCCAAGCGTAGAGCTCCTAACACAGCGAGGATCCATTCCCTCGGGCCATTGACTGCAGCCTGCTAGTGAGAGATGTGATTCAATCAACGCCTCCTCACCGTCATAGGTCTGCCTTTGTCAACCCCTGCCCGACCGCAGCGAGTGTGCTTGGGTGCGGACGAACCTGCATCAATGGTAGGGGAAGTTAGAGAATGCCGATATGAGAGAAAATATACAGAAAGGGACTTAAAGAATTGGCGCCCCTCAATGAGCATGGCACGAAATGATGCTGGAAGTTTAAGAAAAACAAGCAAACAAGAAGAGGACGAGCGACAGTTTAAGGCGCTCAAAAGCTTCGGACGCGCGCACGCCCAGCGATCATAAAGCATTCCATTAAGACCCTACCTAACATGAAAAGCACAAAATCGAATTGGAAAACGAATAAAACAGAAAAACGGAGGAAGAGCAGGGCTAATGGAGAGGGCCTTGCCATTGATAAAGGCGATTCGGATGGAAAAGGAGAAAGAAAATGTTTGCAAAGCAGGAATAAGGTTACCATACGCGGCGCAGTCTAGTGGTCGGGAATGCCGGAGTCTCCGGGACGTTGCAGAGCTGCAAAGCGGCTTGCGTTCCGACGCCGCACACAGTACACGCTTTCAGCCTCTGTCTGCAACGTACGAAAAGGATTAGTTGTTTGCCCACTCCTTTCTCAATTGATTCATTAGTGTTTTCGGGCGCATCAACCCCCAACGTCATTAGTGACGTACGCCGGGGGTTGGCGGTGACCTTTCTCCCCTGGAGGGCGAGAGCCGATGCCGACGAACGTCGCCTGCCGGGAAATTGCCCCAACCAGGTATCTCTCTTCAGAAGGCGCCACCCCAGCTGGGAAAAGCTCTAAGCTCCCGCCTGGTCACCTGACATGTACGGTAGTGTAGTGCATGTAAGTGTAAATGTGAGTAAGGAGCGAGGATAAAAAGGGAAAGGAAGGAAAGATTGCGCGCCCTGCTTGTTCGGACATTTGCTTCGTGTTGATCGGAAAAACAATGGAAAACAACCGATCAGAGCAGTCGGCCGCTATAATAAATAAAAATTTGCCTATGGTACAAGTTTTACTCGTCTATAATATTGTTAAGTTCATATTTCAATGCAACTATTTTAGGACCGAAAAAATGATAAAATGCGGGGAAAAAGTTTAGGCGCTTGTAGGTGGAAGCTGGGAATAGGGCTAGGAGGAAGGATGTCCCGTACTAAAGGGATAAGGAAACTCAGTAGCACGAGAGAATCAGTGTTATTCTGTATCACCACTAGTTCATTACTTGCATGTCTTTATTATTTCTGATAAAGTGCGTCTAAATCACGAATTACCAACATTTTTCTTGCATTGATCCCTTTCAAAGTAATTATTTGCTTCTTCTATCCTCTTGACATTTTTCTAATATATTGAGATCATTCTCTATTTCTAGGAGCATATGTTTCTAGGATGTATGAAAAACTTTACCGAAAAGAAGAGCATCAAGAGGGATAATAAGTGAGTTCAGGGCTCCTTGAATGAAATTTTGCGGGAAACACAATGAAAACGCATGTCTAATACCTTCATACTTAATATATTTTCTGTGTTAAAGTAGGGTACACGGTACACCCTCAGAGAAGCGAGGCGTCGAGGGGGGGGGGAGGGGTCTTCTTAAGCCCTCCTCAATTTACGCTACGCGCACTGATAGAAATGAATAAAACTTACGAATAGGCGATTTGCATGGCTGGCCTTTCAAACACTATGTCCCCGCTTCATTGTTATGCCAAATTACATTCAAAGGCAAGTTTTCTCGCTTCGCTCGCCCGGATCAAAGTCACGGCGAGACTCCGACCTGCGACCCTCGCGTTTACTATAAACATTTTTTTAGTATATACAAAGCATAATTACCAATTCACGTTAATAAGAAAGAATTCACAAGAAAGCCTCCAGAATTCAAACAGCGCAGTTACAAACACAATGTGAAGAAAGAGCACTACAACCTTTGTTTCTCACATCACACCACCATGACCACAGCACTATTTCGTAATGGAGCTCCGAAAAGATCCTCAGGTGTTTCCCCTAACTTATGGTCACGATCCTGACCAATCGCGACCCCGTCGTCCGCCCCTCCGTCTATTCAGCCGGAGCGGCGCGAAGGACCGGTTTAAATGGCTTCCTTAAGTTGAACCGTATAACACACTTCAGCCTATTTTTTTTTAAAAAATGTCACGTTTCGAATTGCATTAATATTCAGGTTCACTTATACTTGTAAGCCTTCCCAACACAAAAGAAAAAAATACACTAAATTGTGTAAGAGAGACAGTGGCGTGAAGGATACGATCTCTTATCAGTCTTCCACACACAAAAACCAATCATTTCTCCAAATAATATTTCCTCTGTAACGTAGAATGTATTCTTATAAATAAAAAAACAGAAACCAAAATAGTTTTATATTAGAAAGTTAAAACCATCACACTTCTTTGTGAGAAATAATACAAAATAAAGATCTTATGATGTTGCTATGCTGAAGAGGATGACTATATTTAATCTGAAGTACTCTCTCCTCGTCTAACAACTTCCAATATACGTTCTTATTAGTCACTTGAATCACGTTTAATGATAATTCTATAAAAATCCAGTTGGTCACACATTTCAGTTGCTCGAGGGGCTGCGCCATAGAACCTCTCCAAGATTTAGTTGGGCACCGCCCTTGCCACCCTCACGACCTCCGCCCTCAGGCCGTCTCGTCGCACGCACTCGCCTCCCCAACAGAGAGTGTTTATTCTCTGAAGTCACTAGCCCAGGTGGCGATAGCTCTTTGCTCTTTGCTTTTCATGGCACCTGCCTCGCGCGAACGGCTCTATGCGATTGGGTTTCAATATACAGCGCGCAAAATACCCGTAAGGTAAATACTTGCAACTGCGCAGAGCTGGTGCGGCGGCGGCGGCGGCGGCGGCGGCGGAGCAGCGGCGATGGAGGCGGCGGGAGGCGCGACGCAGGGGTGGGGGCGGAGCAGCGCGCCTAGGGGGCGCCCCACGCACTCCTGCCGTGGACTCTCTCCAAGCAGAGACATGTTACAAGAAGAACTGATTGGTACTGCTAAGGAAATAATAAACGCTTCAACAAATAAAAGTCGAAACAATCTAAAATAATTACAAAAGGACCTGCTTATTACCCGTACGACGTACCCAGAAATCTAGGCATATTCTCCAAGAAATATCAGAGATTAAAACTAAGGTTTTTTAACGCAAACATTGGAATAAGCATATAACTACATATCAGTGCTAATAACGTCTGAACAGCTTCCTCCATCGTAAGGTGGAGGTAAGAATCACACCACTGAAATGCGAAACTTAGCTACCGCGAATCCCAGACCAACAGAAATGCCTTCTGAGATTTAAAACAATACATACGCTAAAGGAAATTATAAAACACACACTAATACTTTCTATCTTTATACAACACTAATAAATACACAAAAACATCTAAAACACAACAAACGCAGCAAATTCCTCAAGGAAATACTTCACTCTTTAGAAATGACAATCAAAACAAGAAGGCTACCAAAATTCCTTTTTACGTGTTCCAAGATAAAATGCTGTTTCAAAATTACGTCTCTCTTGTGATAGCATCTACAACTTTTATTTATTTATTTATTTATTTTACTCACAAAAAAGTATGTCTTGTGCGTGGCTTATTTGTCTCTCATTCTTGTCCCGATCATTGTAAAAACACAAATATTTTATACATTTTCCAACCTATTTGAGATGGTCAGAAACGATTCATCTCAGTATGTACAATAGCACATACAGTACACAAACGCATCACATTACAGCCACTAGAACATCCAAATAACATTAAATAGCTCCCTATTAAACAATCACCGGGTCACAATATTTGAACAATCAACTTTTTTCAGTCAACAATTTTATTATTAATTTTATTATTTATTTAATTTTATATCCCAAACTACTCAATTTACAGAGCCGACAGAAACCTAAACAAAGGAGGAGTGTTAATAGCCATCAATAAAAATATACAACATTACCCAATAATTCTCCCTTGTACTGGCAATATAGGAACTGTTGCCATTAAATTAGAAATACACAATAAAATATGGACTCTAATTGCGGCATACAACCCTCCAAATCATAAACTACTTCGATAACATTACTAAACTATTTAAAAAAAATACACCATACTTTTAGGAGATCTAAATGCTAAAAATACCGACTGAGGTTGTTTGGACACCAACGCTAACGGGAAAATGTGAACTCAAATACTAAATCGTATTATTCTAAAATTAATTTTACCTCCAGGGCCCACATGTTACACCTACGATCGCTTAATAAATCACGATATTCTCGATAACGGAATTACAAAGCTACACACTACTACATTATACGAACTAAACTCGGATCATATTCCACTCTTAATAACCACACAACAAACACCCCAACTGCACGCTCGAGTACCAAATCCAAATACGTTAAAAGTTTACTGAAAATAACTCACAACGTTAACAACAACAACAATACGTAAATTTAAAATTCACTACAACCCACTAGAAACAGAGCAATCAATCAATAAACTAACCACCATAATACACACCACAATTAAAGAGACCGAATTAATACCAAAGAATACAGATAATATAAAAAAATATAAACTTCCCACATAAATAATAAATCTAATAGAAATTAAAAATAAAACCCCCAGACTATGGTCACAACTAAGAACACCAGGGCTAAAACTAGAACGTAACATACTAATAAATATTGTATGTAAATCAATCAAAAACTTTAACAATCAGCATTTCCAAACATTAATCCAATCATTAAACACAAACAACAAATCCATTTCGCAATTCACAAATAAAATATTAAGAAAAAAGAATACCTACCCCTCACTCGACACCCCCACAGGAAAAATGTACACACCTACTAAAAAATCCGAAGAGATATCTAATTACTTTGCATCCACATTCACCCTGAGCAATATTAAACCGCGCCCTAGTCATCTCACAATCAACAAAACAGTAAACACGATAAAATTAACAATTTAATATTGAAAAACCTTCCCCAAACAGCCATTGCATATTTGACCAATATCTTCAACTCATGCATCAGACTTGGTTCTTTTCCGCAAGTATGGAAACATGCAATCATTCTTCCCATATAAAAACCAAACAAGAATGCTTCTCAAACCAACAGTTACCGTCCAGTCTGCTTCCCACGCTCTCTAAATTATTAGAAAAAATAATATTAAAACGCTTCAAAACACATCTCTATAACACAAAGGCGACCATACCGGCAATAAAGTTATACAAGCAAAAATAAAACTACACCATTTAAAACCAATAATATATAGATCTGTTAAGCTACCACACAATACTGCCTTATTACTCTATAAAACTATCATACGACCACTACTATTATATGCATACCCAGTTTGGCTCAGCACAGCCAAATATAATACAAAAAACTCCAAGTAATCCAAAATCAGTTCGTCCGCACCATCACGAATACCCCATGGTACATCTCCAATGCTCAACTCCACAAAGAATTCCAGCTAGAACCGATAACCAACCACATCATTTTTATATCAATCCACTTCTTTCAGAACATCCCAAACATACTCAACTCAACCCCGCTAAGACTGCCAAAATCCAATACACAGAACCCGCATGAAGAATAATTTGTTTTCCATACATTCCTAAATAAATTCTCAGATCTCGAACCAAAGTAGAGATATTATATAAAGATACCTGTACAATCCTAGTAGTAATGTAAGTTGTATTTTAAGATCATAAGTAAGATTATTGTAAGTTAATTACAAGTAGATCTAAGCAACTATAACAAATATAGAGTATATTAAACACTGATCTTTGTATTGTCCTATCCAAAAGAAAATAAATAAAAGAAAATAAAAAATTATCTCCCCTAATCAGCCTTAAAAATTGCGTTCAAATTGAAAGTGTAGTGGTAACGCACGTTGAAAAACGCAAAAAATACAAACTAATTGAGAAGTTAAGTGGAAACTCACATTGAAAAACGCAAATACGATTTGAAACAGAACTGAACTGTAAAATCCAGCTCTGTACTCAGAAGATGCCTTGCGACATCGCTTCCGAGGTTCAGCCAGAACTGGTTACTTACGTCTCCGCGTGTGTGTGTGTTTTTTACCTGTTTGGCCCGCGGGAGGTATTTTATTTCCCTCCTACCCGCTACATCTAGCGAGCTTTCCCCTATCCGCCACCTGGGGACGCGCCACGTATGGGTTACAGGTTCCCGTGCCGTGGAGTGTGTGTGTGCGTGTGCGCGTCCGCGTGTGTGTGTGGTCCAGCTTTTAAACAACACTTATTAAGGTAGATTGAGTAATTCATCTGCAAAAGGGTTGTTATGATGATAAGCGATGCAAAATGTACTAAACAAATACGACCACACCAACCAGAAACCTCGCAGAGAATATTTTTTCAAGGAAAAAGCGGATAGCCTATTAAACCAATATTACTCGAGAATTGTGGATGCGCACGAAGGGTCTAAAGCCAGAAAATCAACATCAGACGTATTGCAAAAAATGTTCGACAAGAAGCTTGTTTGAAGTACTTCTTCCCACGAAATTCTCTAAGTAATCGGGAAAATAAATTCGATCGGTTTAAATGAAATCACGTATTGCTTATTAAAAATGTACACCTTCCAATGAACGTCCGCAAAGTTGACCCACATATTTAATGCATCCTTATACAACGCGATATTTCCAGTTATTTCAAAAGAGATAAGATAAGTTGATCTTCAAAACAAACAACAAAAATTAAACTCAACACTGATGGCAATTTCTCCTTGGACAGTTTATTTTTCCAATATTGGAGAGTCTTATTTACATACTAATGGTAACCTTTCTTAGAAAATAAGAACCTTTTTCAGATTGACAACATGTGTTTAAAAAATTAAAAGCTACGGAAAAAGCCACATTTTCGTTTCTTGTTTTGTCGAAGATGTCGCTTCATCAATGGATCAAAATTAACCACGACTGAAATACTTTTAGATCTTTCGAAACCATTTGACGTACTTTCAAAAGTTTCTTCATAAGGAATTCGGGGTATTGCTTTAGGTTGGTTATGTTAAACGATTTCGGAGAGTAGAAATACCGCGCTGAAATAAAGGGACTGACTGGCGTACCGCATGAATAAAGAGTGAACTGAATGATGATGGCGTATTACATGCACTAGGAAGAACCCTAAAATAGCTCATTATGGTAATTTGAATGGGACGTGGGTTGCATAACCCGTCGCACTATGTTCACACGCACAAATATTAAAACAAATAAACATTTATTTATATCAAATGGACTAACTTCTGTAAAAGAGAATCACATACACTTTGGATAAATATAGTAGCTCAAGGTCCCGGAACTGCACTGCACACTGGCACACTAGTAGAGCCTGTCCAAACAGAGGGGGCGAATATTTCACTGGCAGCAAGTCTTGACTAAAAAACGTGCCCGAGACACGTCCTACATGCGACGAGCAGGCTGAGTTTGAAACTGATTATGCAAACAACAAGATTTGTTACAATTCGTCCGATTACTGCACTATCAAAATATACTTTAAAATGGCAAGCACTGTAGTGCTGAAGGCAATACTGGACACAAACATAACTTCTATTTACACAAAATCAATGAAACTTTGTGTGGGACGCAGAACACGTAAACCCTTCGTTTCCGATTTTAACTGAATTTAGAAGCAGCGCAAATATACATGGCAAGGGGCGTCGTCTTGCAGACGACACAACTAGTGTCGAAAGCTTACCCTCATTCCCAGTTTCTGAAACTCTGTGTACCTTCACTGTATCACTAGTCAGTGAAATACACGTAACCGTGCCTATTTTCGGTCTACGCCATTTTAAAACGCGTCTTCCAGTAACTATGCCTTGGCAGTTTCGTCACTGATATTTTTGGCGTTTTATTGCCTAATGTTGTGAACAATGAATACTAACTACTTGTCGAGTAGCAATTATGTTTTGATCTGAACATTCAGCAATCATAATCATACGAAACTGTTCCATCAATTAGAACCGTAGCCCAGATGAAGAAGTAAAGGAAGATTTGACAGATGAAATTTGGTAATGATTGGTCCCAATATTTAAAAAAGGGTGTGTTATTACCGAAAATATTTAAGATATCACAAATCTTTGGAAATTGATTCGATTCAATAACTACATTCATTGCAAAACTACGTTAAAGATAGATATTTTTGTCAAATGTAATCTGTTCCAAAAACTCAGATTTTTAAATGTCTGCTTCAAGTTAATAGAAATTATTAAAATAATATTGTCGTAAAACCCACTCCAAATTTATTTTTCATTGTTTTAATTTTTTTCACGAGAACAGAACAAAGGACGCTTAAAAATGACGCAGATCTCATGTCCGTTGAAATCACTGAATTTTTGATAATTTCACCGAATTTTCGAAATAGTTATAAATAATGTGAGAAAGAATATGCTATTAAAGCACCACTAATTTCAAATCGCTCTCACTCCTTAACTGTCAGAATGATTCAAAAGAGCCATTTCAGGCGAGCGGAAGCGGAGGCGGAAGCGGAGGCGGAAGCGGTCGCCGCCGGACGAGCTGCGGCGCGGGGCCCAGCCCAGACAGCCGCGATGGACGCTGCGCACCGCCTCGCGCTCCTGGCGCTCGCGCTGCTGCTCCGTAAGTAGACTACGCCTCCGCGCCACGCCACACTAGCTAGATACAGAGGCAATCCTAGCGGGAATGCCGGAGCAGTTGCCTACCTCCCGCGATAAAAAACTTGTAGTACACTTACGGGAATAATGAACTTAGCGGTTGACTCATCAGGATCAATAATCAATCGTGAATGCTTTGCTGAATTCGGAACCGGATAAAACACTTTCGGCTTTTGCAGGATCTTGCCGGGATCACGACTCAGAGTTGAAACAACAGATTTGCGAGTTTTGGGATGTTTTCAACTTTCTCAAAAATAAGCTACTAGTCTCGCACAATGGCACATACTTCCTCGTATTAGTTAATTTCCTATTCTCTTGCGTCTGGGCTAGGTTTTCGATTTTCCCGCACCCTCTTACTAGCTTACATTTATTGGTGCCTAAAACACATTTTTTCACACAACACCATTATCTCAAACCAACCCCCTAATTGTAAAATTGAAATATTACTTAACAAATAACATTTTCTTTTTAAAACATCTGTCTTCAATATTGTAGTTGTGTGAAAACACCGAAATTTTTTTTTGACTTTTGCAATTTTTGAAAAAATCAGTTTCGAGGAAAGGAGTCCCACGCTATTTTCTTTTATTACGTTTTTTTAGCTGTCCGCGAACAAAGTTTAATCAAAACTTTTAAAGCCATTTTCGGGAACTTTTAGAGATTTTGAGGCTTTATATAGATTAACTTCAAAAATCAAAATATGCGTTTCAAACTCGTCGCATGGCCTTAGATTCTTTCACATTGATCGGGAAATATGAATTTTGGAGAAAATCATCAGATTTTTTGCCTTCAATTGATTTTTTGGCAACAACGACCAACAAAACTTGACCGGACTTGATTCTGACTACTCAATATGTTAGAGGAAGTTTTTCTGTTGCAAACTCGTCAATTTCCTTATCAGAATACAGAATAACAATACTTTCTCTTTACTACGTAAGTAAGTATTCCTTAAGAGGCGACCAAATTATAGAAGAGATAGCATGAATTGACTGTAGTAAACTATTGGAGCTCTTCAAAAACAGCTGCACTTCCTATTAATGCTAGTGTTGCTACAACAGCACCTATCTTCTCGCACTATTTGTAACGACTACGCAGTATACTGAGAATACATGAACCTCTAAAAATGTTTCTAACCAACAAACATTTTTCCTTCCATCCATTTTCAATTTGTGGTATGACATACAATAATACAGTAGGATCCTACCTTTGGTATGATTAAAATTTCTACGCTTTTGAGGGCATTTTCATAATAATTTGTGTATATATATATATATATATATATATATATATATATATATATATATATATATATATATATAATTCGTCTATATTTCCGCACGCCAGTAAATAGCGCTGAATCTCGATTGATGATGGATGGTGTCTAGTTCAGTATCTAAAATGTTGGAGCATTTAATCTGAAACGAAATGTATTCACAAAACCTTGTTATATTTACAACGCATTTTTTTTAGAATTTTTCAACGTGTCATTTACTTCTGGAGATCTTGTAGAAACTATTCGTCCATTGAAAACATGGAAAGGTCCACCTTCCAACTACAGCTGGTCTGCAAATCTTTTACACCAAACCAAATACGCAGTAGACAGCAACTCCGATTCATCATCAAAAAAGGTCTGGAACTTGGTGGACAATGGGCATAAGAAAAAGCAAAATCCTCGCTCAGTGAAGATAGAAAAAATTGGTTCAAGAATGAACAACTATGCCTTCACGCAAAACTCTAAACGAACATCACTTCCTTTGGTAAGATTGCATATCATTCATTATCTAATACACAAACTGTCCATATTCACTCGATTCATCTTTGAAAATGGATTACATCATTGAAATTAGTGGTGCTACAGAATGGCACTGACTTCCCCGTATTAGTTTTCTATTTCCTTTGGCCTTGGCTAATTATTTGAGCTTGCCACAGTCTCTTGCAAGCTGCCATCTTTTGCCGCCGAAAGTACCCTCTCTTGGAATTTTATTAATATTTCGGTTTCCTAATAGTACAACGGAAATATTATTTTAATAAAATTAAAGAACAGTAAAATCTCGTGCTGAATTGCATTTTTTTAATAAATTTGGAGCCGTTTTTAAGTAAATGGCGTTTAAGCGCTACTGCAAATTCAAAATTTGAAGCTCTTTTTCACAGAACATTTTTGAGTTTTTGAAAACTTCATTAGAAGTCATGTGAAGCACATACAAATGCTATGATGTTTATAAATGGCTGGGTATGTGCATATTAATGGCGTGAAAGATATTTAAAAATTTATATTTGTGTATTTTTTAAAAAAACAAGAACAAAAATACATAAAAATCAACTTAACGTCGTGAGATATTTTTAAAAAAATTACATTTGTGTAACTTTTAGAAAGAAAACAAAATAACCACAAATGAACTTTTTGTATATTAAAGAGTGCAATTAGCACTATCCGTTCGAAAAGTTTGATGAAACAATTTCAAGCCGTTTTTGAGAAAATGGCGTTTGAACGTTTCTGAAACTGCGGAATTTTCGTCTAGTTTTCACAGAAAACGATTGAGTTTTCGAGAAACGTTTTTAGACATTATTCGAAGCACATATACTTACAAAAGTATAATAGTGTAAACAAATAGCCTCTAATTTAAATATTAACGACGTGAGAGGCAAGTCAAAAAAATTATATTTTTGTAAATTTTGAAAAAACAAAGTAATAGAGCAATGTGAGGTTTAAGTCACCTCATAGAGTGCATTTAGCACTATCCCTATCAAACGTTTAAAGAAACAATTTGGACCCGTTTTTGAGAAAATCTTGTTTCTATTATTTTTTTAATTGCATATATTTAACGCAATATTGCACGAAAACTACCAAACGTTTAAAAAATGCACATGAGCTTTATGAAAGAACATTTGACGAAATATTTGAAGGAATAATTGAGGGAACATTTGATGGAACATTTGTGGTAATATTTGAGTGAACATTTTGGAAGAAACGTTTTACGGAATATTAGGATACATGTGGGAAACGTATTGAAGTACATGGGTGTGAATGCGTCGAAAAGCATGTGAGGGAATGCGATTGAACTTGTTGACAACGTCCCAGGAATATACGAAGCAAAGACCTTGCGAGGTACGCATGTAGGACCTTCGGCGGTGGGGCAGTCCGAGTTACATCTCTTTAGGGAACAATTCTACAAAACCAGACCCTTCGAACCTTGCTTTACAGTCTTTGAAATATTATGTAGTCAGTTTTGAGAAAAGTTTGAAAATATTGTTGAGGCTCTAACTAAAGAAGGAACCCCCAAAAACAAAATATCCTTTTGAAACTAGCAAGACCTTAAAATCGTTTAGGTCAGGGATTCCCAATGTGCCGACCCATTGGTTGTGAATTAACTTTGAAAGAGGGTTAATGATGATCAATGGGTCAATAGAGAACAAGGTCCTATCAATTACAAAAAATTATTAATGAATATTATAATTAATTGATGTTATTTACAAAGCTTGAAAACATATTTATGGACAACTTGCTGTCTCTTCTTGAATTGCATATCAATCCCATGCATGAAAACCGTTTTTCCTGCAAATATGATCTGTGATTTTATGTTAAAAATCTATTTATAATTGTAAAAATTGAAAATTGCAATAATACAAAAAGTATGAAACATTAATAAAACATGTTTTTCAAAACTTTTGTTCACATTCCTTGTTCATCTATCTGTAATATGATTATAAACTAAATCGTATTTTTAAGAAAAATTGAAGGGGGTCACTGAAAAAAATCATTCTTCAAATTCGGCAAGAAGAAGCAAATGCAAATTAAGCAAGATAAAGATTGGAATCTTCTATTGAGATCGATTATGGGAAATCGATTTTGGAAAAAATCGTCTGAATAGTTGGCGCTAGGTGCTAGATCAAAGACGGACGGACAGACAGACAGAGAGACCATTTTACCTTGAAATATTTTTCGGTATCGAGACCTCACAAAATATGGATTGTGACTTCACTACGCGTTAGAGAAATTAATTTACTACAAATAGGAATAAAATCTATACAGTTTTTGTTACCCGGGACCGACAATATGTGTGCATCTGTCAAAAAATAGACGATATCAGACACAACATTGCATTATTTGTCTTTAGGACGTACGAAGTAAGGCGAGAGAGTAGAATGGAACATCATAAATTGATATGAAGACCGTAAATGAAGAACTTGCTCTTTACAACCACAACAATGGTTAAAACACCGAGAAGGAGCAATGTAATGGTTCAGGGCCGAGATGGGACTAAAGCCTTCCTGGCCAAGGTGATCTGGGAGCAAGAGAAGACACATTTCTAATAATGTCTCCGCGGGAGGTCCTGGTAGGTCCTTATGTCGCCGATAGATGGTATCCGTGAATGGGGGATCCACGAAAATGTGGCCCCGACTGAGAAAAAATGGCGCTAACTAATATAAGAAATTACATGCTTTTTTAACATCACTAGTGCACGATGTAATCCATTTTAACTAAGGAACCTAAAATGTTCTCTTGCATCCATCTCCAAAGCGTTTCCGAACCCTTCAGTCATTGGAAGTTGGAGATAATAACAAAGAACGGAAGCCCAAATAATATTGAACGTCGAGTGACTCCGGATGAAAACCGGAAAAGTCGCCACACAAATCATAAAATACTGCTATTCTATTAAACGAAGGAATTGTGAAACATTTTTCCAGTTACATCTCGAAAAGAGTTAAACTTCTAGATAGAGCATTTTCAATATTGTTAATTATACTGTCAACATAAGAATAAATGTGAGAAATATAGAGGACGAGTGATTCGCGAGAAACTATTTTTTTGACCTGTGACGATATCTCGAAACGCGCTAGTAATTTTTTCGGAATTTGGTAAGTCCTCTTTAACATCGAAATAAAAATTCAGTCAAATTTGAATTTTCTGATAGTAGAGTGATTTTTATTCAAACTTAATTTAAATATATGCGAATAAAAATATATGATAACGGTTTGAAAACAATATTTTTGAAAAAGAACATATGAACAGGAAACGTAGTTTTCTTGAGGAACCAACATATTATATAGAAAACATTTTATTGGAATTTTTTCCAGGATCAACCGACTTTACGGCCCATAAGAAATTTCAATGCGCGAGAAGACGCAGAAAAGCTGCGCATCGCCTTGCGTACTCAACACATTGACGAAGCAGAAATTATCAATATAATGACAAGGCGTACCGATGACCAACGACAAGAAATTGTTAAATACTATCCTGTAAGTTTATCACAAAAGCATTACCGTTGTTATGAAGAATACAATATGTTTGAATGAGGATTTTTAAAAATTTTAATATTCATTCTTAAAGTTCTTTTTTGACTATAATTTCAGGATTTGAAGGCGGATTTGAGTTGGAAACTGAGTTTTGGTTTCCGAGAGTTAATGAAAGCTCTTGCGTCACCTCTGCATGAATTCCATGCGGAACAACTGCACGAAGTTTTCAGGAATGCCAGTAAACTCAACGACGAGCTTCTTATTGAGTTGCTGTGTACACTGAACAACAATCATATCATCAAATTACAGCAGGCATATAGATCATGTAAGAACTTTAACGCATAACACCTCTTCCGCATAGTAAGTTCCATTCCATTTTACTTTCTCGAATACGTAAATATATAAAGGTAATATGGTATAGGTAGAATAAATAAAGTTACGTATTGCTGCAGAAAATAGATTTCAAGATTTAACTGAAACACAGATTTGCGGTATCCTGATACCATAAAAGGGTTGTTTGTTTTCTTCAAAACGTCCTTCCATCCATGTGTAAACAACACTAGTACCTAAATCTTTCGTAGGATTTTCGTCAAAATGTATACACCCCGATCGATCTCGCGCAGTGACTTTTCAAAGACCTCTTTAAATATTAAAGGTATTTTGCATGAAACCCCGGTAACATTTTCACAATTTAGTCCAAAATGTCCCCAAACGTTTTCCCGAAATTTATCTCACCTTCTTCTATCAGCGCTCGGGCAGTCGTCGTTTGGCCTTGGATTCTTTTAATACAACAGCCCAATTTATCTCAACAATAAAGTGAAATTCACTTATAAAGATAGCTTATTTTTGATTTTCAAAAGTGCTGAGTTTTGAAAAATGTGAGAGCATACTACATTATTGAGGATAGATATTATTTTCTTCGATCGAAATTTGTTCTCCACAATTAGTTCTTTAGGTACATATTTTCAAAAATTAGTAATAGTTTTCGCGTAATTCTGAGAGCAAAGGAGGCTCAGGACATCAACTAATGTCACTGATGGACCGCTGATCGATAGGTCCTAGGATGGCCGGATATTCAACACTTGCATATCAGCACGAGCAAATTCAGTCGTTGTCTAGAGGAGAATTGTAGCGGCTGGCTACTTTTCCGTGGTTTCCCGTGGTTTCTCCGATCAACACCAGGTGAATGCTTAAGTAGTAACCTAAGAAACGGACCTCGAACCGCGCGCAATCTTTCCTTCCTCTTCCTTATATCTTCACCCTTTACTTACACTCACACTCACATGCACTACACTACCACACTTGACGGAAGCTTAGAGCTTGTCCCGGGTGATGCAGTGCCCGCTAGTGGGACATGCCTAATCAGCACCTGATCTCATAAGTCTGGGTAGGGACTCATGACAGCAACGCGACTCATGACTTTACTTGTTGACGCACCCAGAATTACTAATCAATCAATCAAAAATTAAGACGTTATACCATATGATAGTCGAGATCATAAAATTATAAATTTATAAACGAATCTTCACGGCCATGATGTGATCTTGTTTTTGGAAACCAGATCCATTGCAGTGTACATATACCTATATCTCAATACTAGAGGTAAGTTGGCTTGTATTTTAGAAACGAATGAATGTATTTTAATGCATTGAATGTATTGCCTGCCGTTTCAGTATATGAAAAAGATATTAAAGATGAACTACGAGGATTTTCGAGTAATTTTCTCGCAAACCTGCTGATTTCGTACATCGAGGTAAATATAAACATTCACTTCTTATTGATTACACTGAATAATATTTTCCAGTGATTTTTTTTTGTTTTAGGTGAAAAGGAATGAAAAAAGTGAAATAAACAGTTCATTGGCAAAGCATGATGCACAAAAATTACAAAAAGCAGGTGAGCAGGAAGATTTAGAATTGTTTGGTGAGATAGTAAATTAAGCTGCAGGTTTTCTTCATTTCAAAGGAAATATATTTCTGTAGTTCTAGTAGATCTGTTACCAATCATTTTACAGGAACGCTTCGGATTGAAGAATCAGCACCACTCCGGAAAATATTGCTCACAAGAAGTTATCCACAACTAAAACAGACATTCAGTGAATACAAAAGTATTACTGGAACAAATATCAGAGATGCAATTCGAAGAGATTTTTCTAAAAGCGTCCAGAAAGGATTGTTGAACATTGGTAAAGTATATTTCAATGCACAATGCTTTTTAATTGACACACTATCAATGTAAAAAATATACACAATTATTTTGTTTTCCAGTGAAAGCAGTATCTAACAGACCACAGTACTTTGCTGAAATTCTTAACGCAGGAATTAGAAACTTCAGTAAGAGAGATGCTACCTTAATTCGTGTAATATTATTACGTTCGGAATCAGACATGGGAGACATCAAAACCTCCTACTTTAAACTGTACAATTTGGACCTCTCTGCATCAATTCCGGTGAGGTTACAATCGGAAATCAAATTGAAGACTGGAATTAAAAAGCGTAATATGAACTATTTTTCAAAGATATTTTTATTTTCCTCAATTGGAAAAAGTATTGGAATTACGTCAAGAATATGATCCCGTACTTTCTGTCGTGAAATCCGTTTTAAGGCCGTGTCTTCGCGCGTAGCCTGATTGGTTGAGGTGGCGAAGAGCGAGCACCGACTCAGCCCTTGGGTCGAAGGGTTGAAGGGCCGAAGGGATCGAGCCCCGCCAAGCACAGGCTTGGTTGTCCCTTGCCTCTCATGTATGTCTCGTGGCGAAGGACCTCGCGATGTGCTGACCCCAGGTCAGAGGAGCCTACAAGTGGGTTGGTGTCTAGCGTGTGGTCGCATATAGGTCCCACTGGACATAAAGGGTAACCCGCTGTCAGCTGGAAAAAACTAGGAAAAAAATCTTCCCACACACGTCAGGATTAACGACTTTTAGTGTCGTCCCAAAGATGGTTAAGATCGGTGTAGGTGACGACAATATGCTCACGATTTTGTGACGGGATGTCTGCTTCACTGTCTGTCTCGATGGACGAGTCACGGCAAACTCAAACATCAAATTTGTGAGCAAAACTTAAACATCAAGTTTTTGAGCTGAAACATCATAAATGCTTTTGAGTAAGGTTTTAAGTAGTTGTACCATTTCGGAGATCATCTAGATATTTTAATTTTGGAGGGGTTCGGGAAAAATTCGAAATTTTCTGAATTTTTTGTTTCATTTCTTTGCTCAGAATAAAAGAAATTGCATTTGCAAATATGTTTTTTTAATTTTATTTTCATCTCCGAAATTTTTAAAACTGCAAAGCCCAAATTATTTCTAAACCTGTCCTTCAGCTCTAGCATTGAAGCTGCTGCCTCTGCTCGCCGAATGACGGAAGGCTTCTTTGCGCGATCGGGGGACCACTTGCTCCTCTGTCCCGATGAGTTCGCGTGATGCTGCGAGATTAAAAGTACTTTTTGGAAGACATGCGAATCAAACAAGCACGGTTTCAAAACAATTTAAAGCCCAGAACTGCACGTTTGTGGCAAGTTCAAAAGCCAGCCCAGATCAAATAAATTTAAAAACTAACTAGTACGACAATATCTGTGCCATTCTGTAGCACCACTAGTTGATTTATGGACGCACAAAACGCGTTCTCCATTAAAATATCGCTACTTTTCCTTGCAGTACTACATATCGGTATTTTACTTCTTAGTACAAGGAAATATAAAATATATGACGTTAAAGCATGAGGATTCTTCTAATCATTTTTTCTGATGAAAAGAAGAAAGTTCTTTGACATGTGTGCCCGCACTTGCATTCTAATGAATAGAGGTTTATTCGTACTGACGACACGCTTGAGTCGCTTTCGACAATGACATTCACAACCCCTTTTCAAGCAAACGTCAAGTGCACTTCCCTCCTTTTCATTTTTTGATGTTCTAATATATTTCTCCTTGCTTTTCTTACTCTGACCTTTGGCTTACTGCACTTTTTCCTAAATAGTACTAACTGCAATTTTGTTTAAAGGTCACGAAAAACAAATTTCATTCCTACAAAGGTAAAATCTTTTTATCTCAGAATTCTAATCTTGATATTTACAGCCAGTTTTACTTCCAGTCTTCAATTTTACAGATCTATCTGGCCAACCAAGCTGTCCATTGAAATTGTGATATCATAATATGTCAAGAAATTACACTGTATATGCGTGTGTGTGTGTGTGTGTTTGTCTTTTCTTCGTTGTTGACTGACAGCCAATATGTCGTTAACTTCATCGCCATCTGGCAAGCGGTCGGCTGAAAACAGTACTTCTCGGAAATGTTGACAGTATTATATTACAATTTCTAACATTTTACGATGCATATATATTACATGCATATACATATACATTACGATTCATACTGATTTCAGGAGATATTTCGATTTCTCAATTTAAATGGACCTCATTTTATTATGTTTAAATAAGACTAAAATTTACTCTTAATCGCATCTACTTTATGAATAGATTGTGTGTGTTTATGTGTCTGCATAAAAGGCAAATTTTCAAAGGAAAATATTAAATTTATTGTAGGCCAGGTTTTTCAAACACTAGAATGTGAATGACCTGGGAATATATTTTTTTCTCGAGGTTCGCGAAAAATTCCGATTTGAATTCGAGAAGCTTTGAAAATGAAATCACACATGCGACTCAAAAGTTTAGCACTATCTGTATTATTATTTTGAAATATCAATTGTTTACATTCTATGATGGTTAAAGTTTGACTTTCTTCTGCATTCTTTTATTTGATACCAAAAATTAAATTTTTTGTTTCATTAATTGAAAAATAAAGTATGTGCAGAAAATATTTAGAGTTCATGTATTGGGAAATTTTATCATGGGAATATATTAAAGTTTTGTCATTGTCTCAGTGGTAAAATCTTCAGTATGTGCGATAACTTCTGATGTACATCAATTTTCAAAACTGGAATTATCTAATGAGTTCATTTCGCTCTTCAAGTTTAATCTCTTGTTTTTTTAATATCTAGTGGCATATATTTTCTATAAATACAGAAATAGTTTTTCTTTTTATTTCAGACAAATACGGGTTCTTTGAAGAAAGCATTGATTTCCTTGATATCTGGCTGAATTATTGGATTGAAATCCTTTTACACGTGACAAAAACATTTCGTTCAAGAAAAAAATTATTTAAATCTATTAATTTTACATTAAAGAGTATACCTATTATTGATTATATAAAACATCCTGTCTGCCATAGAGACAAAGCAGTCGTATTAGTAGGTAATCCTTTGTGTACGATTTTGATATAAAAGTTAATTAATTAAATGAATATATACAAAATAAAAATGTATATCTTCGACGCCATATGTCAAATACATTTAAACCTCCAGTCAGCATAAAAAAAACTATTTTTTCGTGGAATCGTTATGCTCTACGTCTTATTTTCAAAACGTCGTATCCATTATCACTTAGGGCTGAGGGACGTGTCGACATACGGACTGTGTGCGAACCAAGGCGTTGCCCCTTGTTGTTGCTTTTTTTGTCCTGCCAACGCGGAACGTAGACATTGGCGATATATATATATATATATATATATATATATATATATATATATATATATATATTAATGCAGATTATTTATTTTGTTAATGTGGAAAAGATTGATGTTCATTACTTCACCGAACTCTACAGATTTTTTAGTATCCACGACTCCCTCGCCTTCACGTAAACAGCTGAATGGCTCCCACCAATCCTCTCTTGATCACGAGGTTCTTTGCAAAAAGCCAGTCTTTGCCACCATGTACAAATTCTTACAAATAAAAAAACGCGAACACCTCCACATGAACATTTGCATTAAGCTGTGTGTGCGCGTGTATCTACACGTGCATTCACACGTATGTAAAGGTTATTTATAAAATTATTTATAGATTACTTCCAGCAGTAAACGTTTTCAACGCTGTTCGTATTAGACGACAATTATAATTCATTTTTTGAAGTTTTTATTTAATTTTAATACAAGTGTTCCTCATAAAAAAAATTAAACATATCACAGAACATCAGTTATTTGATAACTCGAGGAATTAGAACACACTCGTGTAAGAAACCAAACAAAATATTAATTTCATTTTTAAACATCATAATGGATCACTCTTTTCTTAATTCTAAATTTAAATTCGCTTTTTGACTACTGGGTCATATAGCGACCACTTTGATTTTTTTTCCTTTGGAAGAGCTGTAGGAGGAACTCGATGCGTAAGGACAAGACAGAAATATACACTACGCCCGAGGCAGGCCTCAAATACGCACGCGTTCCTTCCGTCTGAGATTGCTACTGCCTCAGCGACCACCGCTACCCGGATCAACGTCAACGGATCTCTTTGTTTCCACCTCTGCTTCCAGAACAATTAATCAACAGTATAGGAAAGTCATTAGGTCGGATCAAATCATGAAACATGATCAGAATATTATGCATTTTTTTCACATCCCAGATAAATTCGAGAACTTATTGATGGAGAGTGGAGATTTATAGTTTGGTTGAAAACAGATTTCTCTGAGAGTAAGTTCTCTAAATATTTTAAATACTACACTGGAGAAGAGTTAATGCTGGGAGAACATTTAGGGACATCTTTCTGAATGAAATTGTGTTATCAACACAGAAAAGGAATATTGCGTGTGCCAGTGTTTTCGGACTTGTGCGGAAGCGGAAGTGGATTACCGCTCTCACCGTCCACGATGACTCCAGCCGGCCGGGATGAGCTGGCAGCTGGCTTCACACGCACACACGGTGAGCAAGGGGGCGGTGGCCTCCGCCAAATACAAAGCAAGGGCGAAAATTGTGTTATAACAAAAGTCATACGACGTAAATCAAATTCATAGTTTTATCATTAGAATCTCGCATGTATTCACGCATTTTAATAGTCTGTTACACTACAAGATTTTTACATATTTTATACTTTTATTTTGTTATATATATACATATGAACACCAAACACAAAAGGTCGGTGGCAGCGGCGGCGCCGTCGTATGTTCAGGTCCGAGTTCGGGCGCTCCGGCAGCATTGGCCGCCAAGTCCATACCTCACGGCGGTAGTCCAGTATGTGGCCTAGTCCAGGCGACACATGATCGGTCGGCGACGTGGCGATGCGGCGTTCATGGGCCCACTTTACTTGGCCCTCGCGACCATCGGAACAATCAACTTCACAAGGCCGTCTCCTCCATCAGAATGCATAAACTACTTAACTCGTCCGCCGCGTCTATCTGGATGAACTCTACACGCCTCATCAGTCCAAATACGCAAAGGGGCCCTCTGTGGCCTCTTTCGGTTCGCGAGAACACGTGGCCCTCCCGCGCTCGGTGTTCGGCGATTGGCAGACGCGCATCACGCAGGGTGCGCTGCCCAATCGCGCTGTCGTCGGCGACGGTTGGCGCCGCGGATTTCAGATGAAATTTAGGCGTCACAGAAATTCTCCGAAGCCTTAGGTTACGTTTATGTTAGAGCTGCGATAAACGATGAAAGCAGCGCTGCGAACCAAGCAACGAGAACGTCACCATGTAATCAGATGGAGGTGTTCATGTTGGCAGCGCGCTGCTCACGGGATCAGCGCTGCGACCAGCGATAAGAGCGACGAAAACCCTTTGGTAGATTTTCGCTGTTAGTATCGCTGGTCCGCGCTGTTCACAGCTGACACACTTCAGGTGTTGAAAGTGTCGAATAAAATGATTGCTGAGAAATTTATCATCTGTGTTTTTGTTAGGAGTCAAATGTGGGACGAAAGGGACAATAATCACCGCAATATGTTCTTTTTTAGACAAATTGTGGGCCGCCTGAATTAGTACAACACGTAAGTTTGAGAGGTTATGTTACATTCGTTTTTCAATGAACAACAAAATACAAATAATTATGGTATGTCTGTATGTTTATTGTTTTATTGTGTTGTGGGAAACTAAATGTTAACTTAAATAGAGCACAACATCATCTTGAAGTGATAATGTATTATTCCGAGTCATTTTTGTAATGTAGATGCTCAGAAGGTACCCCCATTATTTTGTGTGCCATAACCATCCACTCCAACTGTTAATGAGTTTATAATTAGCGACCACAACACCTTATAAAACTTGAAAAGAATTCCTTGTAGTTGTGAGACATTCACCCAGATTGATTGGAATGATTTATTCTTATGTGCTTGCTATCCATGGCACCTTCACAATGTGGGTGCAGTCCAAGGAAGCATAATTTATAACAGAAATTGTAAAATGAATTTATTTTTTAAATGTTATTAAACAATTGTGGATGTTTTATCGGCGAATAAATTGAAGAACAATAGAAGAAAAATGAGATGCCAGAAACAGATTTTTTTTAACTAGAAAATTTATTGAAAGATAATTATTTACATTATTGGTTTTAATAGTACAAATAATATCACATTTCCTTGAACATTTGAATTACACGTTTGTAATGAAATCAAAATTGAAGTGATTGGTATCGGATAGTCCCATGCCACTATCTGGCAAAATATTGAGGTGTTACACCTTATAGAACCCTCAGCATTTCAGTTTATTACTGTTTAAGATTTAAAAAACATTTTAAAATAAAACTAGCTTACCAATTACATTTATCACTTCCCTGATAATCTGTTTTCTTTGAAATTCAGGTCAGTTTCTACTTAGGAATTAAAAATTATTAATTTACAATGGTTTTTGAAAAACACACAATGATTTCAGAAGATTTCCATGTAAATCATTTTTTAAATAATTTCATATAAAACTTAAAAAACAATTGGGAGAGAGTGTTATGTTGTTCAGTCAACATTAACTGAGGACACAATAAAAATTAATCTTTTGGAAATGATTTTGAACATTTGATGGTTTTTTGTATGTATAGTATTCAGTTAAATTAAACACCAACATATCACCACAATATACGCTCTTTACAAGCACAATAGGAAAAATATACTGAGAATTCAAATAAGATTGATAAAATTAACACATAAATTATTGTCTAGACAATATTAAAATGTGAAGAATTCTTTCTTATTTTTAAAGATAGTAATAATTTTACGTAGACTTTTAAAATTTTCTTTCTATTTACTCCATGATGTATATTGCATAACATGCAATTATTTATATCACAGAAGAAACAAAAATAAGACAAAAATCTTACTTCAAATTAATTATTTTCTTTAAATAAAAAATGATACTTCCCCTTCTAAATACTGAGAATGTACCAAACTGAAAACTGTGTTAACATATGAAATTTGACAGACTAATGGGACTTTGAAAAATAGAAATTGACAGAATAATAGAGCACTGCGCATATTTGAAATATTCTGTACATAGTCACTTTTGTTGGCACAATTTCACACTTGTCTTCACTGTTTTTATTTTTCATATAATTTGGAACAAAATAATCTTAATTTTGGAGATCCACATAGGCCTGTAGTACACAATAGATTTCCTTTCCTCCATACAAGACCCAACTCCATAATTATTTCTTAAACACTCGTTCACATGCTTCCAAATTTCTTTCATCAAGAGGCTAGACTTCTTCCTGTAAAAATAAAGGAAATGGACATTGAGTTTTTCAAATGAATATTTGCATAAAGTTAGATTGTAAAATCATTTTTTATTGATATAATAAATATTTGCAAAATTCACATTATCTAAAATAATTTTAAAGAAAAAATTAAGTACTGATTCAATTACTGATGTTTATAGTGATTATTTATTCTTATGACATGTTCAAAGCAAACCAACTTAATAATTATTGTAGACATAGGAGGAAATTTCATCAGATTGAAATATCTAATTAGTATCATTTTTGTTTAATGTATTTGAGGCTAGTATTCATGTCTAATTCAGGTTGGGGCCATGAAGGTCTGTTGGTTTTACAAGGAGAAATGGAAAGTATATTTCTTCCTGATATTTTGTAAATAATACTTATACTGGTTTAGGTGTTTTAGTTTTTTTCATGTATAGAGATGAAAGTCTTGATGAAAAAAACATTTTTGTATGTAGGATTATGCTGATTGCTAGAAAGGCTGCAGCAGGATAAGGAGTGGGTAAAAGTGCCCCTAAGCTTAATTCAATTTTGAAAAGAGGGCACATTTAGTGTTATTTTTAAAAACTTTTTTCCAAATCTCAGAATGACAGCATGATTATTTTGAAGATATAAGAAAAAATGCAAATTTCCAAAAATTTGTACAAATGGGCAATAAGGTGTTCTTCACTACTGATTTTCTTTGAGATTTTTCTTATTGGTGCTTCATTTGAAAAATAAATATCTTTTTTTCGCCATTTATACATATAAAACTCAATAACGTAATCACTTTTCCATGAAAAAATACTTTTCAGGTAGAAAAACATATCATTTTATATCTTTTCTGGACGAAAATCATAACATTACAAACCTATTGCGGATTATTTTTGGCGAAAAATTAAAATTTTCAAAAATAAAAAAATAAAACACAATACTTTTTATCATGTTTTGTGACCGGTTTTGATGTGAAAAAATTTTTTAAAATGTTTTTAAAACTGAAAGCATTTATATAACATTGTAACAGGAATGTGTTTATC